TTAAGAAATACAACAACGTGATTTTTATTGAGATACAGAACTATAAAGACAACATTTTTTTAAAAAGCAGTTAAAAGCATGCTGAAGTATAAGTTTCAAACTTCAAAATAGTTTTTTATTTTTTTGTCTGCAATGATTTTTTACCGAATTACGATGATCTGAATATTATGCAATTTTAAGTTCAATATCCGGAAACTTTTTGACAGTGTATAAATAAATATTTACTGAACGACGACAAATATTTGTTGCTATTAACTTTTTGCAACTCACGCATGATTGCTATGATTGCTAATCCTATACATTCACGGACTTGATTAGGCGTGCGTGTGAGTGAAAGTGTGTCGTGTGCGATATTGTGAGAGCGCAATAAAATAGATAGAACGATTAGAAGACAGGGTGATTATTAATAAGAGCAAAGGCAGAATAATTAGGGTAAGTGAAAGAAAATCCGTGCGAAAAGGAGAAGAGAAATTTAGAGATAAGCGAGAAAAGAGGGGACGAGGTAAGAGCTTTGTTTAAACTAAGATGTAAGAATTTGGAGGAGGGAAATAAGTATTGGATAAAAAAAAGTAAGAGGAAATGTATATTCTGTGGGGAGGGTAAGAATAATTTAGAGCATTACGTAAAGGACTGTGTAGAGACAAAGATTAAATTTACTGATTTAAGAGAAGAGGAAAAGAAAATTTTAAAGAGGATCTGGGATAATAATTTGGACGACGTGAAGGGAGAGGTGTTAAGGAAATTATGGAAGGAAAGGGAGAAATTATTTAGAAATAAAAAGAAAGAAGGGAAAGAAAATAAGACACATTCGGTAGATGAACATAAGTATAACATAAGTATGACATAAATATAGTATGAAAAGGTACACATAAGTAAAAATAAAGGTTTCTACAGGCTGTAAAATAGATTATAATAAAGAAAGAGATAAATGGATGTAAAGGTAGATGTATACGTAGTAGACTGCCAAGAAAAAGATAGATAGATAGATTTTTTCTTTTTTAATCGAACACTTGGCTCAAAAGCTTCTATTTTATGCCAAAAGAATACTCCTAGATTTTTATCAAAAAATATTAAGATTTAGAGGTCGCTAGTAAACGATTTTTTAAATGTTTCGATTTCCCTTATATATGTTTAATTTGATGCAAAAATAGCTTAATTTCAAATATGGTACTGCATGTTTTTTTAATCGCTGAACACGACGCAATAGTTTATTTAACTCTACGATATACACCTTAAGAAATGTAGCCCGATTAATATAAAAAAATAATCAAATTTCGAGTTCAAAGTCGATTTTAACAAGCTTCCAAGCGTTCAAATTGTTGTGTAATTTATTCACATTAATGACTCTCGGACTCTATTTCTTAAGGCGTATATCGAACTATTGTATCGTGTTCAGCGATTTAAAAAACATATAGTACCACATTTGAAATCCGGATTAAGTCATTTTTGCATTAAATTAAACATGTATTAAGGAAAATCGAAACTTTGATTTAAAAATCATTCACTAGCGACCTCTAAATCTTAATATTTTTTGATAAAAATTTAGGCGTGTTCTTTTGGCAAGAAATAGAAGCTTTTGAGCCAAGTGCCAAATTAAAAAAAAAATTTTTTTTCTTGGCAGTCTAATACGTAGTTGTATATATGTATTGTATAATAAGTAAGATATAAGAGAGAGAATACGATTTGTATGTATGTGTGGATGGATGAATGTGATAAGGAAAGAAATTGTAAACCAACTCTTTCTTGGCAAATTTGTTAAAATGAATAAATTCTATTCTATTCTATATATATATTCACATAAGTATTATTTTGGACAAGCGCAAATGACGATAGATTAAAATTGTAAATATTTTGACACATAATTCGAAATCAACACTTTTGTGGATTTATTAAGAGTATCTTGACGAAAAAAAATCGTAGAACTTTTTAAAAAATTTCATTTTAAAAAGCACAAATATTTTTGTAAGTCGCTGTATTGAATAAATATCGATTGCAATTTCTAATTAAATATCTCTCTTATGCAACCAGTTTTGCCAGTAATTTAAATTCTAAGTCAGCAAAATCAGAAGTTGTTATGTAAGCGCACAAAAAAAGATTTTGTAATCATGCATGGACTGTATAAAATTAATCTCAACAAATGAGATTTATATCCCTTTAATAAATCACGTTTACTTTATTCTATTGAAATAGTATTATTATATACATAATAATATTGTTTCATGATAATCTAATGATATAAGATATATAATGTGTAATATTATATATCTATATATATGTATA